CACTCGCACTCGCACTCGCACTCGCACTCGCACTCGCACTCGCACTCAGACTCACACTCGCACTCACACTCACACTCACACTCACACTCGCACTCACTCACACACACTCACACACACTCACACACACATTCTCTCTCTCTCTCACACACACACACACACACACACACACACACACACACACACACAAACACACACACACACACATCAACACATTAAAATTAATTTAAGTATATTTATTTGTAATCAAAGTATAAGGAGGTTTATAAATTTTAATGTAAACACCTATTTTTAAAACCCCTTGAACCTACTTACCTTAACTGTGTGCCATATTGAACATAATATAGTAGGTATCTGCGATACACGTTTATACGTAGTGCAAGGACCGCGAGAAATCATTAGTAGATAAGAGTTATGTGACATAGTTAATATGGTATAAATGCAAATTAATGTAATCCTATTTGGTCAATAAAGCTTATAAAGCTTATTAAAGCTTATTATTAAGTTACATTTCTCTCGGACACCAGTTTATTACTGCAATTAAAACTTTTCTTTAACTGTGAAATAACGTCAATATTTGAATTGAACCTAGATTAAAATTTTCTCAATTCATTTCACAAAGGTTATTACTATGCCTGAATATGAGAGTCAGGAGCACAATGGAATATTATATAAACACATTTTGTGTTCAGTCAGTCTTTTTTATGTGCCAAGTGATGGGACGAACAAGTCGTCCGCCTGGTGGTAAGCGACACTTCCGTCCATAGAGCTTCAAATCGCAAAGATACGAATGACACTGGCACTACGCCCTTCATCCTGAGACGTAAAGTTGACAAGTCCCATATGCCTGTAATTTCACCAGCCCTTCAAAACCGGAACGCAAACCCTTAAATGCATATTGTATAAAAAAATGATACGTTGATATTTTCGAACGATAAATCCATGTCAAAGGTTTTTTAACAAATAGGCTGTACAAAAAAAATACAGGCATCCTGATTGGTTTGCTATATTTTGTTCACGGCTGTCAAAACTTTTCACTAACCGTTGTTCGAGGTACCGGCAAAAAATTCAATCTTTATCCAAAGTATTTTATGTGATCTTGTGACAAATTTAGCGCTAAAAAATATAAAATGTCAAGGTGAGTGTTTGAATTTATAGTACATTTATGTAATTTAATCGGATGAGAAGCTTTCTTAACAAAAAATGGCTTTTCAAGTTTGTATCAAAAATGATACACCATGCAATTAAGCATCAAAAAAATATGTATAATTGCTTGGGCTTCGTGTGGTTTTATTGCTATTGCACAATTGTTTACAGCACTGGAAGAAAGAAATTGAAGGACGTTCAAATAGAATGCATGCTTATGCGGTTAGAGGCTGGCGAAGTTTCTGAAGATGAAGCAGAATCTGATGGAGACGACTTAGATTACTACCCAAGTCGCGAAATTTTACAAGCAGCACTTGAAGATCTAGAAGATGAAGAAGGTAATGGAACTGAGGATCAAGGACAAAATGTTACAGAGCCTGAAAATATTGAAGAGTGTTCGGACCCTCCATTGGTACATGATTTTGAAGAGAACTCCGAGCAATATTCAACTTCTCAGCATATTCCATTTGAACAAATAGATACACGAAGATTGATTTGGAAAAAACGCGCGTTGGAGTATAAAGAAGATTCTATTACGTTTTTGGGTAGTGCCGATTATAGTCCTGAACTTTTAAGATTAGAAACTACATTGCAATTCTTCTCGCATTACTTTACAGTCGAGTTATTGGAGAAAATAGTTGAGGAAACAAATACGTATTCGGTGCAGTCCAGTCCTGATCGCCCTGATCTCATTAGTCTTGCAGAATTGAGAAAATATCTAGGAATACTAATATTCATGTCGGTCTATCACTTCCCAAGTGCCAGATCATATTGGAGCACTAAATTCGGATTTAGACCAATAATAGAAGCAATGCCTGTAAACAAATTCGAAAAAATAAGACGGATATTGCATTTCAACGATAATACTTTACACAAGCCAGTTAGTCATCCTAACCACGACAAATTGCACAAATTAAGGCCTGTCATAGACTATTTAGCAATGAAGTTTTCAAGTGTACCAATGGAGCAGCGCCTATCTGTAGATGAGCAAATGTGTGCGACAAAAATAAGCCACTTCATGAAACAGTACTTACCCAACAAGCCGCACAAGTGGGGGTTCAAGCTTTTTGCATTGTGTTCTCTGGCTGGATATTGCTATAATTTTATAATATACTCGGGGTCAGACAAAGAGCCAATGCTGAACAATGAACCTGACATAGGAGTGACTGGTAACACAGTCAAAAAGCTAACTAGAAGCGTGTCACGAATGATGAATCACATAATATATTTCGATAATTATTACACATCGTTACCTCTTATGCATTATATGGTGAAAGAAGGCATATGGTGCTTGGGCACCGTGCAACTGAACCGCCTTGGAAAGTCCTGTAAATTGCCAAAAAAAAATGAAGTAATGGCAAAATCTGTACCCCGAGGATCTTACGAAGAAAACTCGGCAAGTGTCGATGGTGTGGATTTTTCTGCCGTTATTTGGAAAGACAACAAGCAAGTCACGTTACTTTCCACTTATGTTGGTGCTGAACCTGTAGGTTCTATAGAAAGATACGATAAAAAGGAAAAGAAAAAGGTGGCCATTAAATGCCCTAAAGTTATAAAAGAGTACAACGCACATATGGGCGGCGTTGACCTTATGGACTCGTTCCTGGGCAGATATCGCATAAAAGTAAAGTCACGTAAATGGTACATGCGAATTTTTTATCATTTGCTTGATCTTTCAGTGATTAATTCGTGGATATTATATAAGAAAGTATCTGCTGAAAAGAACACAAACCCTAAGGAGATTCTAAATCTGGCAGAGTATAGAGCTGAATTAGCAGACGCCCTTTGTAAATATGGTGAACATATCGTACTATCTCGAGGTCGCCCAAGCAGAAGTTTATCGGACGAACCACCAGCAAAACGGAAAAATATCCAGCAAGTGATGCCCTCGAGAGATGTTCGGTATGACGGCGTGGATCATTTGCAAGTGAGACAACAGAATCGCATGAGATGCATGATGCCAGGCTGCAAACTGCTGAGCAGCATTATGTGTTTAAAATGTAAGGTGTATTTATGCTCTAACAAAAAAAGCACAGATTGTTTTAATGATTTTCATGTTTAATTTAGTAAATGGTACTATTGCAATTGTTTTACTGTCTTTGTCTTACGTCGTAACGTAATTTAAAAGGAGATAACTGCTAAATGGTAAATTAGTATATATGATAGAACTAATAGGAAAGAATTATAGGATTTTGCATGATGTATCAAAAATGAGACAAAGTTTTTTTTTTAAGTAAAGTAATTAATAATTAAATAGGATTTTTTAAATTATTTTTCCCGGTATCTAGACATAATTTTACACCACATATATTTTATTCAATAAAATTACAGAGTTCATGCATTTAAGGGTTAATGCTAACATTACTGTTTGGCGGCAGAAATAGGTAAGGTGGCAGCTTTCATATGGAGATCTACTGCTACTATGTAGTTATTAGGCAGATTACACGTCTTATCGAACACCTACTCATGTGGCGTGTATTTAGTCTCCATAAGCACTGTGTTGTTGTGTGCGAAGCACCGGTAACCAGTTACTCCATGAGTTAGGACCATTTTCACAATATATTCCTAAATACGCATCTAATGTCTTGTGTATATTTTTCATTGCTCCAATTGACTCATCATGGTAAGCGATTAATGCCTGTTTAATTTTAAGAAGTTCACATACATGTGTCATGGTGTTTGAAATAAACTCCGTCTCACGGTCGGTCGCAATTTCACGTGGGATTCCATACCGCGATATAAAGTTATTTATACATAATTTGACGTGATTGCAATTTCCATGGGTTGTTTTGTTTTAGTGCCATATTTTTGTTTCTGGCACTGTTCACATTTTGATACAAACTGGTTAATGTTCCTATCCATATTATGCCAATAACAATTGTTTTATATATTAGGCCATTCGCCAGATGCCCACGTGACCACTAGTGGGCAATAGGTGAACGTTATTACGTATGACTCGCTTGTCATTTTCGTTATTTATTCTTTGCACACTTTTGAGTATATGTCCGGACAATTGTGTGCTTGCCTTTATTTTATTAACTATCCCTGCAATAAACTCTTCATTATTTTCATCTTTTATAAATCACACTTCTTCTATGGTTAATTTTCTACGTAAATGAGATAAATCTCTCACCAATACGTCTCGCGTGATTGATGATCGAGACAATCTATTGAGGAAAATACTTAATTTGTTTGGCACGTAGACAAAATAATACGTTTTTTCTGTTATTAATCCATCTCTTTCAAATTTATTTAACTTATTTTTAAGCGACTCCAAAAAAAGGAAGGGTTTATACGTTCGGCTATATCTATGTTTGCCGATTTCTCCGTCAATTGTGAATTGATTTTGAAAATTCTTTTTTTGTTTGAAACTATATAGTTCGAGGTGATTCCATGGAAATCGAGCGAAATTCTCAAATTTCATAGGCATGTACAGTGTATTCACCTATCACCTAGTAGGGAGGATGTGCTGAAATGGTGGGCAGATCATTTTAACAATCTGCTTAACGTGAATTGAACCGCGGACTTACCGCACATCAGCTTAATACCTCAGCTGCCCATAGTTATTAAGCTGGACGAGCCTTTGTCTCGTGACGAAGTAGTTTTTGCCATTAAGCAACAGAAAAATAAGCGCGCGGTCGGTATTGACTTAGTGCCTGGAGAATTGCTTAGATACGGAGGTGAGGAGTTGCACTCGTCTGTATGGGCACTTTTTGTTCGTATGTGGGAGGAAGAACGTGTCCCGAATAGTTTTAAATTATCTCGCATTAGGGCCCCATACAAAAACAGAGGTGACCGTGCAGACTGTGGCTCTTACCGCTCCGAACAGTACCGGGAAAAGTCTTTGCCAAAGTACTTTTAAACCGCCTCAAGGAGCTCTCAGAAGAGATTCTGCCAGAAACACAGTTTGGTTCCGACTTGAGCGGGGTACCTGTGAGGCAATATTCTCATTGCGTCAACTACAGGAAAAAAGCAGAGAACAGAGTCAAAAATTGTACCTCTGCTTCGTTGACCTTGAAAAGGCGTTTGACATTGTCCCTCGCGAAGCTCTATGGTTGGTGCTAGGAAAAGTAGGATGTACGGAGTAATTTTTGCGCATTTTGAGACTTTTGCATGACGAAATGCAGTACTGCGTCGCTGTGGATGGTGACGAATCAGGCTTTTTTCCCGTTACCTGCGGAGTGAAGCAAGGGTGCGTCCACACTTTTCGCACTGTACTTTGCAGTTGCTGTTCGTGAGGTCTTGCAGGGTTCGCCAAAACAATAGAACAATATAATTATTATTACTGTTAAGTAATATATGGTTCTAAACCACAAAGTGTACTATCGTCTAATGTTTAATACGACTTAACTAAATTATATACTACTTACCTGTCTACATTTGCCAAAAATGGAAAAATAAACAAACTTGAAAATAAAAATCAACCAACTTCAAAAGCCACAAAAGTGACTGCACTAAAAACGAAAAATAACAAAATACAGATTTAATCCAAACGACAACAATGAACATAATACTTTTTATTTATTTTTGTCTTATTGCGTTTTGTACACAGTATTGTAATTACTTATTAATCAATCTATTTACATTTATGGTTTATTTATACAATTACAGCGTGACCACTCTTATCCAAACCTATTATCTATAATTTTAATGAAATACTATTGGAGTGCGCTACCCACTGATCGCTTTGAAGTTTTGCTTCACTCCTAAAAAAATATTGATACTTAAATATCTACAATATCTAATTAGTTATTATTGGAGTCGATGCCAGCCGAGGAAAAAAAAAATATTTTTAATGGATTCTAATGCTATACGGTAAGTTTGTAAAATTGCCATGTCTGGCACCGACTCCATAAATAACTAAATAGATAGAGATTTTGAAGTTGGTTGATCTTTTTAAAGTTCGTTTATATTTAATTTGTAAGACGAGTTGCCGTCGGCGGCGCCTGGCGAATCAGCGGGAAGTGGCGCGAAGGCAGACGCAGTGTGACGTCTTAAGTCGACGAAACACTGTAGCCTTTAGGCGCGGTCTCTGGAATTCTCCAGTATTCGCGGGAATGCTCGAGCGTTCCAGCGATCACGTGTGCCTTCTCGCGCAGAGAAATTGATGCTTCCAGTCCATGCCGTTCCGCTCCAGTGTAAATTGAGTGCTTTCAAGAAAATAGTAAGACTTGGGGCCCTATATTTTGACTCGTATCTAGTTTGCACTTTACACAATTGAAATAAAATTCATTATGATATAGTTATAAAAATTCGCTACCATTCAGTGCAACAGCAATGAATATTGAGCCTTAAACTTAAACCTGAAGGATCAAATGAAAAACGCATGAATCGCATATTAAGGAACTTTATTTGACCAATAACAGACAAATATTTTCGTAATTCAGGTTCCTTTAACAGTTTCTTAGATGAAATAGTGCATAATATACCTCACGTGATATGAACTCGATAATATTATATTTTTATTATAATTATAACTTTCAAAACGTGTAACCATGATGAAATTTAGAAGATATGAAATCCACAATTGTAAATCCGGCAAATACAGTTATTTATAATGTATGACATTTTAATATAGAAATATTAGTTATCAGAAAAGATTGTATATATTAAATTTTTGTAACACGAATAATAGAAAATATGACTATATTTCTTAAGACTAATTAGAAGATCACAAATTCAACACACACCTATAGACTTACTTCCAAGGACAGACCAATCGAAATACCACAGAATAAACGTTGTTATTATAGGATTGAAAAGTTAGTACAATTCATTTTCATATCGTAAACTTTAAGCCTTTTTGTTTAATAATATTAATCGCTATATTGCATAGAGAATAAGGTCCATTGTCTATCGAAACGACTTGGATAATATATGCGTTTTTACAGTAGTTCGTTGCTTCAAGATCTCCACGTCTCGTCGGCGCTTAGTCAAAATTAGGAAGTAACTTTGGTTACTGTAACACTGGTATTCTTTGCTGCTTTTTGATAGAAAATAGGCCTTATACCTTGAAATATAAACATTTATAAAACTTCATACAACATAGATAACTTACTGATAAATAAAAATTTTGGAAATTAAACTTGTCGTTGTAATTACCAATATAAAGTAATTAAATAAAAATAAATGCATTTAATCCTAATTTTACCGATTCATAACAATTATGGAATGTAAATACCTTTATAATTGGACAATATTTTATAAACATGAAGACTTATACTATAGTTTAAAACTATTAAATTGAATAAAATTACGTCTATTACCAAGAGTATGCAATGGTAAATTTTGATAAATTTGAATTATCATATGCTTTAGGAATTCTCAAAGTTCTTCCTTATCGGATGCATTTGTATTTGTGCGCTATAAATATATAATCACCCTGCTTCAATTTGCATAGTTCAAATTAGCAGCCTCTAAAAGAAATCACAAAAATAATACAAAATGCTTTATGTAGTAACTGTGTTTAAGTTGCTAGTTTCCAATAATATGTACAAATCGAAGACCCATAACATTGCACAACCTCCGTATATGCCATTCTGAGGCATTTTCACACTCCATCAAAGCTAAAGCGAACATTTTTCAAACTATTAATTGACTTTGCATAAATCAAACTAGATTTTAATCTTAGCGTCCAACTCAAATACCTTAACGTAAAGTTTCATAGGATTTGGTTTACCTTTGCAGTATTCAGAAGCAAATGGCGCGAATAGGTTTGAGCACTGCCAAGAGCAAGCGGTTATTTTACAATGAATAATGTTTTTATATTCTAAGCTTTTCGATAAGAATATTCCTGGAATCTGCGTTTTAGACATTTTGAAATTCATGGATTACGCCCGACCCAAATCCGTCATTGTATGAGAGATACGCCAACTACATATTGTTATTATGATACGTTATGGTTGGAACCTTTTGTGCCCGTGGACCACCTGACTGGTTCACTTCGGTAGAATCAACATAATATTATTATTTGGCAAAGGCGATACGATGGTATAGTATACAAACTCTACATTTTCCATTGAAAACAACAAATAACTTCAACCACGTTTACACAGCAACATTGAACAATCACAGTTTGTATGCTTTAATGTGAGGCCAAGCGTACGAACGCCATTAAACTGTTGTGAAATTTGTAATCAATTTGTGTTGGTAGACATTGTGTTTGTGGTTGGACTCAGCGTAGAATTTGTGATTATTGTTGGTCGGTTAAGTGAGCGAGTCGGGACGGAAGCGCGAAGACCGACGTCATGGTTGCAAAGCGACACGATTTCTCCGAGCAGACTCTCGCGACGCGTTGTGCACCTCGGCTGTACGTAAAGTGATGCCAAAGATGTCCTCGTGGTAACGATTCTCCTCCTTTTAAACAAAACTCGTCATTCATATGACAGAAAAGAAGAATATCATTGAACAATCTACATAGCATGTTCTTTGACATCAAGAAAATCAACCATTTGAGACGGCAAAAGTTTGAATAGAAGAAGAATATTGTAAGACTTACGAGTACAAAGCAAAAATTTCGCCGAAAATTCAAAGCAATGTTCTATGACAATTAACATCTTCAGATAGATAGATAAAGCAAAGCTTTTAAAAATAAGATGTCATAACTAGCTTGCGATACTTACTTTCAGCATGAACATGAAGTTTTGCACTTTCTCGTCTGTCATGTTTCCATGTTTCTTTATGATCCCCTTTAGCTTTTGATGGACATCTTCTGCCATTTTGCAATCACCACAAACGTAGAAATGGGCTCCTCTATTTACAAGTAAATCATGTATCTCTGCTCCTTCTTTTTCCGCTAGTTCTTGGACGTACATCTGCAATAATTATAATAAAGTTAATTTGTTAAAATTCGACAGTATTAGACAATTATCCTAAGAAGGTATGTCTTCAACGAAGTTACCTTTGGAATATTCTTCTCTCTCGACAATGCAAGGAAAACTTTTGATAGTACTCCATCTTTGAGAGCTTGTTCCTTTTCTTCTCGATACAAGTCCATAGTTTTAGTACGGCATCCAAAAAACAGCCAAACAGGTCCAGCAGCTGAATGGGTTCGAGATTTCAGTAGAGCTCTGCGGTGATGCCAGAAACCACGGAATGGTGCAATGCCAGTACCTGGTCCAATCAGTATTAAAGGCACCGACAAGTCTTGCGGAAGATGGAAGTTTGGTGCACTATAACGATCACGAAAAGTAATTAATCACATATATATGTATATAAAGCAGAAGATAAAAAATTATGAAAGTAAAAACCTACCTCCTTATGAACAAGTAAACTTCGTCTCCAGGTTTACGGTCCATCAGATAATTAGAGCACACACCGTAGTGAACAGGACCTTCGCCATCTGTTTGAACATGACGTCATTATATTATCATCAGCTGTAACCACACAATAACCTAATTAACCTCTATTACACGCATAAATGAAAACTGCCGCATTACGGCCGCTAATGTTAGAATCTCACCTATCAGATAATTGTTTTCTGGCGAATGTTGATGTTAAAACAGAAATAGATCGTTTACAACCAGTTTTACGTGGAATTCGTTATTTCAACACAAATCACGTGTAACGTTACATGAGGTATAAAAGGTTGCATAATGATTATTTGTCTGTCGGTGATGCTAATGAATTTGTGTGATCTGATGTACACTGACCTTGAGTTCTGTACGTGACAACGGCTACAGTGAGATGCAATCTTTTCGGATGAGCAATAGGTGATGAAGAGATGGAATAGAATCTTGGTTGTAGCGGTGAGAGCAACGCTGCCAGTAGAGACGCACATGGTCTGGCTGAGGGGAATTGATCCAGGACTTCAGGTAACGTTGGAAAGTGGAAGTGACGCCAGTCTTCGTACGCTCCTGGGTCCTACAAAACAAGTTTTCAAGTTATCACCTACTCTTATCAAATTTATTAGGTAATAAAACATCGCAAAACTCACCGTAGCTAACAAATGTAATTGCCTTTGCTCGTCCTCGTCCTCACAAGTCTTTGCAAGGTACTGGAGTAAAATTGTTGTTGGTGGTGTTGTGATGTCCAACAATCGTGTGAATAGATCTCGAACGCTTACTACTGGCAATCTTTCGTGTGGTTCCCACGACTTCACTGGACCTAATCAGATCAATCAATCAAAAACACATTGTAAAATATAGAAATACAAAATATACAACTCATATTTATTATTTATGTTTATTCTTACCACTGGATGTATGAGTTTCTTTCATCAGCTGAAGTTGCAATGGTTCATCATAATCCTCAACATCTTTTACTCGAGCTAGCAAACTATCTACCAACTCTTTGCGATTGCAAGCAATGATTCCAACGTGATCACCCGGATCATACTTAATTTCCTCCTGAAAATTTGTGTTCGTACTCAAGTTTGCTAAATAGTATTATAATTAGTTATATGTGTAGTTATACGTCCCTTTTGTTATAAAAATGTGTTGTCTTGAGTGGTTTAATATAAAAATAATTATGGTGTTAGTTTTAGTGGATAATAATAATAATAACGCACACACTCAACATAGCCCCGCACTAGGGAAACCCTGTGTCGCGGGTGCCATGGACACACACATAGACAACCACAAATTACACCCAAACTCACGAGAGAAATAATTGTAGGCCATACAACTATTTCTCCCGGCCCGGGAATCGAACCTGGGACCTCTGCGTGGCAGTCCGGCATGGTATCCGTTCGGCTACGGAGGCAGTTAAGTTAAGTTGGATCTTATGTAAATAAGTTGTCATGGAAGTGAATAAAGTTTTTATCTGTCTATCATCTAGCTATCTAGTTGTAAATAGACATAGATTAAAAAAGAAAACAGTCCAATACTTGCCTTTGGATCCATGTCAATAAAAATCGTGGATCTTTCAGCAGAAGCATCACCAAGATCCTTATTTGCCTTGACAATGCAAGTTACTAAGTGTTTGTTCAAGGCAGATTGCAAAGCTTCTCGTAGACTTAGAGGACAAACTTCAGGATGAGCAAATCTTACAGTTTCCTCGCTGAGGGCGACTGTGCCCAAGGCTCTTTTAGCTTCTTGTAGTGTTTCATCATCGTCAAGGCAGAAAGTCTCGCAGGCAACCTAACCAAGGCAAAAGTATATATAAGTTCAGTGCTTTAAAATATGGAGATAACATATTAGTTTTCTATCAACACAGAACATTTCAGACATTTCGACCCTTATTCTATATAAACTTTTAGGCACACAGGCAATATTTTTTTAAATGCAGATATTTAATTACGTATACATTTGTGGCTTAAGGATTTTAAGAGCACTTACATTGAAAACGCTAGAAGCCCATTTGCGGAAAGCCTGGTCTTGACCGCACATTTCATCTCCCGTCGCTAGATCGTGAATACGTTCGCCGCCAAGATCTCCCAGCAGTTTGTCAACATATTTGCCAAAGTTGCAAAAATTGGGATAAGCGCTTGAACCGAGCGCAAACACCGCGAAGCGAACGTTGCTCAATGGACCGAAACTATCGATTGATGTAGCGTCAGTCGTACTTCCTACAACATTAATAAGTATACATTACTATTTGTTTTATTAAAAACATTTTTCTGTAATATTACAAGCGCATAAAACCTCATTAACTCGAGAATTTTAAATTAATTCATAAATGTAGATAGCAACTTCTTTAACGACTAAGGTAGTCCATCGACTAAGGTATACCATCACAACTTTATTTTAAACTAAAGCACGTAAAACTACAGAACACAAACCTTTTAGCGACTCTAATCTGCTAAGATTTTTGGTATTCCCCACTGCGTATCTTTGCAACTCCATTTGACTATTTGCCTTTATAAATGTCTTTGGAATCATCATTTGGTTATTACTGAAATAGAAGTTGAGTAATTTTAGATTGCATTGGAAATGTAAAAGAAACAAAGTCATAAATGGAATGTACTTTTAATGTACAAGTAACATAATCACTTTATTATTATTGACGATGACAAACCTGAAATTAAATAGTTTACCTTATAGGATCTTCACCAACTTGATCAGCATACAAAATCTCGCATAGATGTTCCCCAAATGCCTAAAACATTTGAACTTTATACACTGGCTCGATTTTTTTTAATTTTTAACTTCGTATTAAGCATTCTACATGCCACTTACACACTAGGCTACACAAAAATTCTCCTTATACTGTAATATCGCACACTACTTTTATACATACACATCGCCATGTCATTAAATTTAAGTTTTTTTTTAATGTTTACTTGTAAAATTGAATTAATTGCAATACTAAAACGACTTTCCTTGTTCGAGTGGTCTAGCAACCTTTCAAACCTACCACGAGCGTCAGTCATCCACTTACGTAATCGATATCCCAAAATTGTAATATATCCCATAGACTATGGACCATACTTATTAAGAAGAAATGAGCCGATCAGAAAAAGCTTTACGTCCATATATCATCGTCATCCACAGCCCGACTTCACACACTACTGGGTATACGCCTATCGTAGTTTATGCCATCCACCACAATTCTGAGCTAGTCTCACCTATCTACCGCCGACAAATCTCGCTACACTATATGTCATAAGTCAAAACAGTTAGAAAATCTCCTAAAGGTCTAAAATAACGGCGCAATCTAGAAACAAACACAAACATGGCTCATTGCATGCGAACAACATAGTCACACTGCTTCAATACCAAATTTTAGTTAATTTAGTGGAATAGTTTTCAGACTAGTGTTTTTAGTGACTAAAGTAGAACATTTTCAAAAACTACATAAAAAATCATTACTTCTATAATATTAATCTTCTCGGAACTAATAATGTTTATCGCTTCCGCTCATATCGCTGACTCAAAGCGAACAACGTCTTGTTCGCTTTTATATATATTATATGTTTTACAAGACCATAAAGCTTTTTCTGATCGACTTAATACAATTCCATTTCGGTGAATGCAGTGATTCCCTTAACTAGTCATTAAACCGATTTTAAGTAAACCTTTACAAGATTTTTAAATATTTCATAAATATCTACTTACAACGCCGTTCTCCGGAGGGTCCCCATTTCCAAAAGTGGAAGTCACAACCAATAAAAGAGCCTCGTGTTCAATGGAAGTGATATCATAATCCGCCATACAATGAACCTTAAAAAGGAATACTTCTTATTTTCCTCCGCCGTGGCATTTCCTTTGGCAAAATACTCACGAATGGTATAATTTCAGCTTTAAATTTGTACAGTCGGTGCCCTCACTTATGTACCTGTCCACTACTTGTATAGCACTTAGTACAAATAGTGGATACTTAAGTGAGGGCACCGACTGTACGTATTAAATACCTGAGCATTGAATGCGTGTCCGAAAATAACTCCCAGTTCCTTTGCAAACTGTTCGGATTTGCCAGTCTCGGTGGCGTACAAAACGGTCGCCTTAATCCTTTTGGATAGAGCTCTCCCGAATAATTTTGATGTGAATTTAACAGCGCGCGCGATTTGCTTGAAATGAAACTTTCTATTGATAGGCCGTTTGCCAGTGATTGGTTTCGATTTCTGCCACTGATGCGTTTTCCAAGCTGGTTCCTAATAATTTGAAATAGCAAATTTATTATTATCATTGATGCAAAGATTGAATAATACAAAGAAAAATTCCTTAGCTCTGACTGGACTCGAACCAAGTCTGTTGCCATACCGTGGCCACATCTCTTAATCATCTGAACTGCAGACCGGATCAACAGAATTTTACGAAAGTATCTATGTGTTTGTTACAGATTTTTGTATTGCATTAAACCTCTAGATCGGTGCCGAGCCACCGGGGCAGTTTGTACGAAAAAGTCTTTACTGGAGCGGAACCACCGACGGCTGGGCTCACCACGATGATTGTAAACCGGTTTTTCATAATAATGAACGTAGACTCTTCATTTGTTTAAACAGCTATTGACCGTAAAGAAGTATAAGAAATATTTTATTCATTACAAAACCAAAAATCATTCGTTTCTATAACAGAAACGTTGTTTGAATCTATACTAAATCTTTGTGTGTGAGTTGTATGGTGCGGTATAAAAACTTTATTTTGTATTAAAAGTTTTATTTTTGCAAAGCACAATACCAGATTTCCATTAAATTGTAATAAATAGACTTTGTTTAGCGCTTTCTATTAAATTTTAATGAAAATAGGAGTACATTCCTTGAACAAATATGCTTCTAAAAATCATGATTTTTGACTTTAGCTTTTCTACATTACAATTTCTTATAGGTAAATTATTTAGAAACTCAGTACCGTTTACAGAACTAGGATAAATAGACTAGTTATTTTTTAATGAGCATTTATCTGAAGGGCCACCTAAATCTAGGTAGGCGCGGGATGTGAAATAAGATTTGCTAAAACTGACAATTAACATGCGGTAGTTCAAAGGGTTATACGGCTTATTCCATCAGCGCCACTTGAGAGAAACTTATGAAATTTCTTCATTCAGCCCTAGTTGACGATAGATGTCGCTGTATCAATTTATTTATTAAAACATAAAATTCAAAGTTATTCAAAAACTATTCAACATTAAAAATTTGCTTTTCCTTATCTGAATAAATAAAATAACTTACCTGGTATTCGTAAGAGGGTCGTAAGTAATATAGGGCCATTTCCTGGTGAAAGACAGGCGTGATGGATGAAGACATAGGCGGGATGATCCATATCCAATCTGCCGGGCACCCAGACCTAACAATCAAATGCCGCAAAGCGTACCGTTACATGACTACATATTTTAAACATAACCGTGTGATTATTAGGTAATGTGTGTTATTTTGTGGGTTACATAAGCATAGGTAGGCAACCGACCCGCTGGATTATTTCAAAATGGCTAAGAAAAATTGGATGAGGAAGGCACAAGACCGGAAGAAATGGCGTACATTATGGAACAGTCCTATACCAAGTATTGAGCGGATAACTGTTGAAAAAAAGAAACTGTCATAAGTAAATTTACTATAGAACTACACACATAAGTAATTTCGTACCCTATAATAAAGCCACTTGTGATCACTTGGCAAAAGTGCTTTTATCACATGAAAATCATAAAAAATAACACGAAACAAGTTATGTTTATGTGAAATTTTGTACGTAGAATATTTAAACCTCTCTCCTGAAAAGTTGTCATTTTGCACATCGCACCCCTCATGGAAGAATGGCATAAGTGGAGTTACATCAAAAACGTTTGTTGCTCCATTAGATACAGAAAAATATTATAACCCACATCCTCTCCAATAATTGTAACTCTATCTACAATATTAGTCGATATAGTCGATATAGTAACTCCACTTATGCCATTCTTCTATGAGGGGAGATGTGGTTTATCACACCGAGGTTGTGATTTAGTTTGAAAATTATTCCGACAAAAAGTTGTGTTCCGAGATTATTCGTTCGTTCGCATATTTAAATGGTATGACATTCCAAAAATACGAATTTTTGTTTTGCACTTAAATTACATCAGAAAAATTTAAAAAATCGAACACATGCTGTGAGTGCTAGATGTTATTTATTAGCAGATATTTAACTTAACTTCAAGCATCGAGTATATAACCAGAAATAGAGACGAAATAAGGGCCATATATTCCTGGTAACACATTAGCGATACAGCTCTTGTAAATATCAACCCTCGTTTGCACTGAAATATAGGCAGGCCAACTACTGACCCGTGTGTAAGTCTCCGTATATTCCAAAAAATATTCTGTATTTATTGCAATAAAGATAATATCTCTAACAATGCCGTGCTCTTCTATTCGGTGGTGTGGGAAAAACAGCAAAACTTCTAAGTACAAAACAAACGGAATCACATTTCATCGGTAATTAAATATTAAATATGTAATTTTCGTCCATTATAGCAAAGCTCAAGTTAACTGGTCTGTTTGAAGTGAAACAGTTGACGACACCCGTCAATTGTTTCGAACTCCAAGCCAATCGGTTGTCACAGTAATGATAAGGCAGAATAGTTTTCAAACAAATTAAATGACATTTCGTCTCTATTTCTGGTTGTATACTCGATGACTTCAAGTAACACATAAAGAGTAGACAATACCTCCCTCTGAAATTCCGGAAAGATTAAAAATAAGGGGCAAAAATTAAAACAGTTACACGCAGGTAATTCAAAGTAGTTATATTTTTACTTACAAGTCATACAGATATGACAATATTACATTTATTGAATGTAGAATGATTCTTTGTAACATCAAAACAAAGTCAATTTATATTTACAAACAGGATGTCTGTTTTGACGTTAAAGTTGTTATGTGACACGAATTTATTTTAATGTTTGCAGAAATGGGTTACAAAGCACGATTAAAAAGGTTAAAATCTGTGAGGGCCAAGCCATTTAACATCTGCGAAGGGTCCTTAATGAAGTTTCACACACCCAAACAATCACACGATGGCCATGCTTTGTTTACACGACTACACATGTAGTTTTATTTTGACAGCTGCTGTACTATGTCAAGGTTCTTCAACGATGGAATTATGATCTTAATAAAAGCTTTAAAACCTAGAACTTGTAATTTACTAGCTACGGTATAGATCGTAGTAAACATTGCAATGATGGGAACATAGGTTCCCATCATTGCAATGTTTACTTTTCTAAAATTCGGGTGCGCTAAAGTACAACAGCTGATCACGTGTGTCTAAATCGATTCCTTATGCAAATGTCCAGTAATCCATAATTCCACGTGGTTTGTGCTTGTTCCATTTTCCCACCAGATTTAAAAACCATCAGATTCGTCTTGATACGTATCCTTGGTATATAATTACAGCCACATGTGATGATATGTCAAAAGTGCTTTTTAACGGTTTTTTATGTTTAGGGAACCGATTTTGATTTTGTTGGAAAACGGGTACCTCAGTATTGGTCCTATTTAAATTTGAAGAAAATATTCCACCTTTAAGAATGGCAAACTAGGTGATGAATCCGGTCTCGCGCCCTTTCCCGTTATCGATGACAATAAAACTTGGCAAATAGATGATATGTAATTCCACGAAGTTTTCAGGTTGGTTTTTTTTTTGTACAAAAGTTATGATTCACACATGAAAGTCATAAAAATAATACGAACTAGATGAAACAAATTTTGTCCATGTGAATTATTGGTTTTACGATAGATACCATGTAAGAAACAAGTTGCGCGCCTGGTGACAAGGACACGCCTATCCATAACAATTGCAGTGATGTTTAGAACTTTAAATCGCAAAGATCTGATGGGCACTGCCACTGCGCCCGTCACCCTGAGACACAAGGTGACAAGTCCTCTTTGCCGGTAATATCACCAGCACCCAAAACCTTCAAAACCAGAATGCAGTAATGCTCACATTACTGCTTGGCGGTAGAAATAGGTAACGTGACAATACTTCCCCGGACGAAGCATAAAACGGTCATTCTCGGACTAGTGTTCACTACCTAATTTCCGTGGCAATTTTTATTATTTAAGTATTCGATTTTTATATCAAGAAATGTTATTAAATAATTACACGTTAACTTTACTTACTTATACTTGAATATTTAAATAATAAAAATTGTCACGGGAATTAGGTAGTGAATACTAATCTGAGAGTGACCGAAAATAGTTATCGATGCGTAGAATTTTCAACCCTCTATTCGGAAAAGGTATAATTGTGCAGAAGTGGCCTTATTACACTAACGGTGCGAATTATATATTACATGTGTCACTGGTTTTACATTTTCTATTGAAAACTCAAGTAACATTAACATGACATGATTATTTTACGACGCGTCTAAACTTTGACGACGTGAATTCCATGCTAGATTAAAGTAGGGTGGCAACGCATATTTGCGTGCACTATTTCGACTTACCGCAATCTATTTTCATTGTCTAGATGTTTGATGAAACTTTCAGAAGCTGTGTGGTGATCGACAATAGTTGCGTTATGCTGTTGGAAGCTGTGAAGAACTGCAACGTTTACTTCCACAAGAGCTTTGTCTTTCCACAAATTCACAGGAGTTCGTGTATCTAAGCCCATTTTCTGCGCCACTTTCTGTTGAGAAACGTTTTAGAATAATTTTATTAACATATTTAGAACCAGCATAAGTTTTCTATTACATTCTCAAGTTGTACCAAGTATGATATTTTTAAACAAGTTACAATGGATTAAAGGAGCCTCCCCACACTCATTCCTTTCCTGTGCGTCTGGCGCACCCTCGGCAACAATCGACGAGTACCTTATCGTTAGCTCCAATGAACACTATGCTAACATAATTTTTGGACCTGTTCTGTTTTTCTTATTTTTTCTTTTTTTCACAAAATTCGTGTTTTTGTTTTTTTTCCAATTTTGTTTCTCTTCTTTTTTTTTCACAAAATTCAGGAACCATAATATTAGTAATGTAAGAAGTAGTAATGTAATGTAAGAAAGATTTGGGGCTGTCCATATGCTATTGAGGGAAAAATAAACTGAATTTCTACCCATTAAAACATTTGCAAAGTTTTAAGCATATGCACTGTAAGCCTAACCTCCATATCGTTTTCAGTTTTTTTTTCTTTTAATATTACTTTACAAAAATTAAGTGTTACCTCAAGCATGTTCAAACGGTTAGTATCACAGAAATTTCTGCAGCCGATTTCAGTGCTCATGTACCACCCGTTGAAAGCATTTGCTGTAAACTCAATCCCGCCACAATCGAAACGCATACTGGACACCGCGGGCAATGCATACCAGCGGAGTTTCAGCTCTTCAAACCATTCGTACCTGAAATACAAAGTCTAAATACTTTCCAATGCTTTAACCGCTCCGTGTCATTGATGTAAATATTGTTTTACAAGATATATCATTAATGTATACTATAGAGTTCTTAAGTCTTCGCAATCGTTACACATGGGAAATAAAACTATTTTTTTTTATCTAAATCGCGTATATTTGTTTAACTATAACCAAACCATATTTTTCATTATAGTTACAAAAGCTATTAATTAAATATCTTATTATAATTTTTTTAAAGAAAACGTAATTTAGATCCGAAAAAATAGTTTCATTTCCTATATTAAACTGCTTTAAACAATAGATATTTTGCGTATCCCTAATGCCATAACAGTTAATTATAAGAATATCACGATATTTTACACCATCTTAACGCCTGTTAACATTATCAACAGCGATACATTATTGAATGGGACCAGATTTATGGGCAATAAAGGCAGATTGGAGATCACTGGACCACAATTTTACGATAAGCAATCTGCTCTGTATGGGCGCGAGTGTGCGTCTATTGGGGCTTTTACCTCAGGGCACAATATGCATTCTTAGCCCTTTTATGTTGGCGTAAATCTGTGATGGAAAGCGATATACGGCGACGTGTTGCACGTAAGTAGCCATGTAACACATAGTCTGATATCATAAATCGTGGGCTTTCCACAGCGACTTTGCGTTTTGTTTCTCCTGAATACACTTTGAAAGTTTTATAGCCCATATCAAAGGAAAGTGTTTTCGATTCCTTTGTTTTCGATAGCGCATATTTTACACTGAATCTAACTTGTAAATATTTCGTTTACCTAAGTCAGGCGGGTCTTGAAACAAAGACGAAACATCTATGAAAGGTATAAGACTATGTATTTTTTTATAAGTTGTTTAAAAATCAGTAAGCTTAAGTGGCATTTGGCCGAACGTGTCTGCAAGAGGGTTATGGCCAATGGAGCAGACTTGTTCTAGAGTGGTGACCACGTCGAGGCAGACTACCTCAGTAAGGGGGAGGCTTAAGGCACTCCCTCACCGGGTACATTTTTTTTTTAATTCTATACTGTACTGTGATGTAACAATTCAAGATTCGATTTTAAGCATTACGTTACATTACTGCCTCACTGACTGACGAACATTTGCCTGTAGTCGAATGACTTGTTGTAACAGTGTCAGATAAAACGGTCATGGCGCTGAGTCCGGTAATATTAATTCGATTATGTTGTTTACGTAAAAATAGCAAAACAAACGATATTATATTAAACGAGTATGAACTGTTACATTATAAACGAATGCTCCCGGCGAGGGAACGCCCTTATGTCCAGCAGTCGTTGCCTGCATATGTATGACAATTTGTTTTCGATTTTGGCGAAAGTATAGACACCCTCAGCACTTGATGGAAGTACAGGGGGTAATAGAAATGTCTCATTTATTTATGTTTCCGATACATCTCCGCAAATCTCATTTAGATCCACAAAACATCAATAAGACAGCCCAGATTAGTTTATCGGGAGATACAACTACTTACGTGGGATGAGTCATGGGTACCTCCATTACGAGTTCCCTTGGGATTTCAAAGTAGTCCGGATCCTTTCCATTAGCGGAAAGAACGAGTGGTAAGATGTCCCATGCTGTTTTAGGTGGTTTCCAACCTAGCTTTAAGCAGAGCTACAAAAAAGATTCCTAATTAAGATGGTATTACTTTGCAAGAATATGGCTTATAAAAAACTACACAGACAGCCTGTGCCATCATTTTAAACAAAATATAATGAAGCTAGAATAATATATAAAGAAATAATGTGCGTTTATTTACATAATTCACTCATTTTACAACGATATTAGCTAAATTGTGCTGTTAAACTTATTTAGTAAATATAATACTTTTCCGGTAAACCATAGAATACATAATAATGAAAATATATTATAGACATTATAATGTTATGACATAAGGAAAAACTTGTAACCAATGATACTCGTCTAACTTATTTGATGTTGAATTAAACGGCAACAGTATTGCAGTTAAAATTCGGTGATGGATTATCCAATTTTAATATTTCTTGAAAATGCAGATCGATCGATCAAACATTCCAGAGCGGTTATAACGCCAAAGTTATGTATAAAATATATCTCAAGCTAAATTTAAAGTCGTTTCACCTTAAAAATCACGATTACGTGTTAATTTTCTATTTCATACTAAAGTATAATGTTCACGAGACCTGCTATGATGACGAAACTCACGCAATAAAATCATCTTGTGACTAGACGTTTTTTCCAGCATCAAATGCCTCTGTAGTTATGTTAAACAGTTTAAATATAGAGAGGGAACTAACTATACTTTATAATAACTATACTTTCATGTTACTAAAGTTACCAACAATTCACTCCTCTTCTACTCTATTACGACCTCGGTGATCCAACTATGTGCATTGCGGGCGCTGATGAGAAGGTCCCGTGCTCAATTCCCGGTAAGACCAATTTGGGAAATGAAACTTTCTAAATTGGTTCTGGAAGTGCCCCAGAGTGAATTATGTTGTGCTGATACAGCCCGGAGGCACGTGGTGGTGCGTAAATGAGCCCAATACCAATACGCTATTATTTGTAGGAGCGAATACTATCTATACTAATATTAAACAACATCACATACGTTGCTTTGATCCCAAAGAAAGTAACTAAAGCACTTGCATTACGGAAATGAGAAACAACGACGTTACGACAAATACCCAGACGCGAAACAATATTGAAAAGTTACTTTTCTACATTGTGGTGGGCCGCTCAGATATGCCACCATGAAAACCGGTGTGCAAGCCACTAGGCCACGGAGGTTGTTAAATAAAATAATTCTAATTATATCCGGGGGTCTACTGTCTCCGTCAGATATCCATCCGAAACAATGACTGTCAAATAAGACGCGACCAAAATAAAAAAGAATGTCAAGTATGAAGCTGGGGGAACGCGGTCAGCATCTTGGGCACCTTGCCGCGGGGACCCAATTTTATTCATATAATTTAATCCTAGTTTTACTTCCTCGTATTTAAGCTTTTATTGTACCTAACCTGTATATTATGAAAATAAAATAATAATTATTAATAGAAGGATCGAACACTCAGAAAAAATCCTTCGATCCGGCCAGATTCGAACCGATGTCTTCTAGCATAATGTACCAACTAAGCCACGGAATGAACCAGCGGACCTTACGAATTTCTCCATGCGTTTATTGTCGTATCATTTGGTTTTTCAATGACTTTTTGGCCGTAGCGCCATCTATGCGAAATTGAAAGTTTTTCGTCAACCAGTTAGATACCTTTACAGCTACCAGCCCCGACTAGAGATGTCGCTATTCACTGTATTTAAATATTTTATTGAATTGATATTCAATATTTTTTATTAAATGTGAAATTACTCGTGGATTAATTTCACATAAAAAATATTGAATATCAATTCAATAAAATATTTAAATGATATAATAATTAAAAAATTATAAAGCTTCATTTGCATCATGCATCTTTTAATTTGATCGACTATTTACTTATTTCACAGTAATTGTTTCGGACGGAGAACGAGAGCACAGGGCCAGTGCCATTTAATACTGGAAATACAACAAAACCTCCACCAATGGCAACGCAATAAATATTTTATCAATTTATCACAAATACCACAAGCTTTGTCTACCATTTTGTTTCCGCTTCCATTAATGAAAGCTTCGACGATTCCATTAATAACAGCAAGCTTTGAATTAAAATAATTTAAAATGTATCTGCGAATAAAAAGGTTCGATATATTTTACTTGCCTAAAAATTTCGCTATAGGACATTTTACAGTATCTTAATAACCTAAATTTACCATACCTCAGTAAATTCACAGTGCATCGGGTCTCCAAGAACTGTCCCGTCAGGTTGTCGGTAGCCAGCATAACTGATCAGCTGACTATTCCATATTCTGTAGTCGTGGTTGCAGTCTGTGCGTTGGGGGAATACCGTTATCGCTGACCTGATCCAGAAATGGGAATAAAGGGAACCAATAATTACCGTCTTTATAAAGTACACTTAATTCTATATACAGGGTTACTTTTAAAATACTACTCGTATATCTATAATATTACTTACATCATAAACAACAATTTTTGTTCCATGACTTTTCATAGTTCGTCAGATTTTACTTTCGTACAAAAAATAATTATATTTTAATAGACCGCTCTAAACAGTGATAACTCTGTGCAAAACGCAGGAGCGTGGGTGGGGGTAGCGTCGTCGGGGAGGATGCTGCACGTTTGAACTTACTACCTTGCTACCAGATACAATATGGAAACAATGATGCTACCGTAAACATCTAGATCCGAAACAATATGTACAGAAAAGTAAATTTTTTTACATTGACCCGGCTGGGGATCGAACCTGGGACCTCAGACGTGGCAGTGTGCAAGCCACTCAACCAAAGAGGTCGTCTTATTGTTCAATTGTGTGCTTAAATGATGTTAGTAATATGGACCTGCGAGGTTGTTAGTAGTAGTAACATATGGGGTATATGTAAAATACTAACAACCTAGTGACGCAACGAACAGTGATTATTTGTTTTAATATCGTCACATTCGCATGCATCGATGAGATAATAAGTATTTTATTTATAAAGAATTAATTGTACTGCTTAGAAAAAATCACATAAAAAAGTTACGTTTATTTTTTATTGTGTCCTTTGAATTCTATATTTGTTTTTGTATTGTGACTATTATGTTAATTACTTAGTGACTGTTATGTTAATTACTAAGGCTCACATACCCTTTAATTGTGTTTCAAATTATAATTTTTAACACTGATAATTGATGATTAATACGTATTATAAGCTCAACGTAAGTAGTGGTAATTTACGAGGTACAGTCCGAAAAAATATGGTTTAAAGAGTAATTCAATGCCTTATGGACTTCGCATTCGTAGAGAAAGGCGATCGCCCAGTGGGAGAAGGATTATGTTACGCTAGCTTCCAAAGGCCCGTGGTTGCACGGGCTGCGCCACGTGTTCTCGCGCCAACGCGCCGCGCGCCGTGGGAAGAGGGCCGCCCGTGCCGGTGCGGGCTCGTATGTGCTGTGACGCGACACAGCCCGTGAAGTCACGGGGCGTGGGAAGCCACCTTTTGATGACAGATGCCGCTGATGTGAACCCTTTTATTTTTGGCCATGTCACGCATCATGTCATCGACATACGTTATAGTTTCGCTACAATAAGAATCGCGAGTTCTTAGATTTTCGCGATTGTTACACATAGCAAATGAAGCTATTTTTTCAGACATAAATCGCGTGTATTTGTTTTTTCAAACAAATCAACCTTTCCGGCCCTTTACACGTCTCTTGTTCACGGTTAACGATTTAGATCTGAATACAAAGTATATCATATCATTTCCTATCAATAAAAATCTCGTTTTACCAAGGCAATTCTGGTTACTTTTCTGCTAATAATCCTTAAGATAACTTCTGAATTTAGATTAACGGTTCAAATTCCTATTGCGGCATATACCAACGACTCTCATTTCTAAGTTACATTTGTAAATGTGAAGGAAAACATCGTGATAAAATCTGCATCTTGAAGACGGTTTACAACGGAGAAGAAGACGTATTGTTGACATTATGGACAACGTGGCGGGCTACGATCTAAAATCCCTACTTAGAATAGATGGGGGCCTTTCTTAATGTCAAAACCTATTATAAAGTTATACATATAATGGCTTGTTATTGTTAATAAGTACGTAAAGATCACGCGCCACATATATTAACATGTATTGAACTGCACGCATGCAGCACGCGTGGAGCGCGCGCGCAGCGCACATGCAGCGCGTTCGCAACGCATTCG